CTCCCTCGCCGCCCCTATCCGACAAGCAGCCGTTGGCCTCGTCCTAGCCATCCGTGACCACATCCCCACCTAAGGATGGCAATGGGGCGGTTTCGGGTCGGATATCCGTGAGTTTCAGGTCTCGTGGGTTTGGGTTTGGGGATGATTTCTTACCCACGGTTTTTGGGTTGGGGGCCCGAAACCTATCGGGTTCGGTTTCGGGTTTGGTTTTCCACCCGTGGATATCCAATGGATATCCGAAATAAACCATTTGAAATAAAACTCATGTTTTATAATATGCTAATAATAACTTGTTTACTCAGATTATTAAATTTATTCTAAGTTGACTCATGAAAATATTTATTATTTGTTTCCTCTTGTTTATACATGTGAATATGTGTATATATATCATGCATATGTTTATAGAAAGTCCTTATTGCTCTTACTATGTTGTCATACAAAATGGGTTTCGGGTATCCATTCGGGGTTCGGGTATCGGGGTTGGTGCGGTTTTGGGTTTTGATTTTGGGTTTGGGTTCAGGGTGCATAGAGACTCCACCCACTCCGAATCCGCCCCCGTTGCCATCCACCCCTACCCCAGGTCGCTGCCCCATATATAGGTCACTGTGTCCTTCCCGGTAGCTTGCAGCTGGCCAAACATGGCCAACAATAGCAAGAATCGCCTAGGGCTTGGACAGGGCATCCAAACTACTGCCATATCCGCCTAGGGCTTGACCACCACATCCAACGACAGCCATCCACCTATTCCATTTCCCCTGTGTTTCCTGCTATATGAGTGATCGATCTTAGCAGAAATGATGGCGGTAGTGATGGAGATCTAGAACGGCGGTGATGACGGACGACTTCATAGAAGAGGAAAGAGAAACATGTGAGTTTGATTTCTTTGAGCGCCAGAAAATGATAGGGAGGGGAAGAGGTCACCTGAATCGGCGCAAGCACAGGCATTGGTTTAGCAAGTTGATTTAGCAAACTAGTAGGATGATCTTCATCAGTTACACAACATATAAGCATTCACGACGTTTATGTACACAACCCAATTCTATTCTTGCTACAATAGAGTTATGTAACATACTCAATAGGATCATATGTGTATGTTACACAACCCTATTGTTACACAAGAATAAAACTAAATCGTAGAGGGACCAATAGGGGTCTGACAGATTGATACAGCTAACGCGCAAAAAGCAAATAAAATGGGGATTGACAAGTGTTCACCTTCTTACAGGTTTCGCTGTTGTATGCACTGATGTCGTACCCATTGCTCAGCAATGGATGGCAATTGTGTACTGTCATGATTTGCAGAGGTATTGTCAGTTCACCCCATGAATTCCTCTTCAATGAACACAACATGGTAAAGATCAAGAGCTTGATTGAGAAAGTGAGTGAGATGCATACACTTGAGAGTACACTTTTGGCATGTGGACAAGTCCCAATCATCATTTCCCATTTGCACATCATGCATGTAGTGGCAAGCCCACGAGCCCTTTGGACCTTGAAACAAAACAATATTAGCTATACATAAGGTGCTATTTTTTCACTGCTCCTAGTATGCAATCAACTAGCATTGATATTGGGCCAAGTACTTGGGCCACGGTCTATGTTGCCTAAGTGCCAGGCTTGCCCCAAGGTATCGCTAGATTTGCCATACATTCATCCACTTCTCTTTTGTACAGGAAAAACGGCGAGCCTATAGAGCCCGGACGCGGCTCCCGTTCGACGCACCCGCCGTGTTGTGTTCACTGCACCCACGCAACAGGAGAGCGTGCCCGCCGCGCCCACGCCACCACACGCCTACGCCCCTACTCCCAACCGCGACGTACGCAGCCCCCTCCGCTCGGCGCCCATCCGCTCCGGAGGCAACGTCTGTCCGTACGGAGCTCCCTCGCTTGCGCCCGATGCATGCAGCTCCCTCGTCCCACGCCTATTGCGCCCATGACCCATCCCTCGTTCTTATGGATGCCCTGCCGGCTCTAGGAGAGACGATGCAGCAGAAGGTGGGAGGAGGAAAGATGCAACACCCGATCTACTTTTGAAACATCCAAATACAACGGTTGCAAATATGTCTGAAGGCAGTTGAAACACTTTAAACATGTTATGAAACACTTGAAAACACACTTGGAACATACTTGAAAAATAATTGCAACCATACACAACATCCAAATAAAATATATGCAACATATGTGTGAAACATATGCAACATCCAAATAAACATAAATTGCAACATCCGTCCGGAAAACACAGATGAAACATACCTCTGAAACATCTGGAACACTCGGAACATACTCTTGCAACATGCCTCTGAAACAATTGTAACATGTGCAACATCCCCCGATCTACTACTTTTGCAATATCCATATGAAACAAATGCAACATACCTCTGAAAGGCCTGAAACAATTGAAACATATAATTGCAACATAGGGGGAGAGCGAGAGAGCCTGGCGCGGGGAGTGCCATGGGTGCCGGATCTGCAGACATTGGGGGCTCTCGGTGGTGGAGGACGCCAGTGTGGCGGGAGGGGCACCGCCGGGGTGGGGGAGGAGGACGCCGAGGTGGGGGAACAAGCCACTGGGGGTCGGGGAACATAGGGACAGGGGAGGCTGCGTTGGTCGATTACGGCCGTCGGGGGTTGGCGGTAACGGCCAACGGTGGCTGCTCTGGAGCCTAGGCATCGCCGGTGGTGGCGACGAGGACCGCCGCGACGGTCGATGGTGACGGCCCGCGCGCTGTTGCGGTGTGGCAACCGCTTCCACATCGAGTGTCGGGGTGGGGGAAGGGGTTGCCGGGGTGGGAGAGAAGGTCGCAAGGGTGGGGAGGAGGACGCCGGGGTGGGGGGGTGCGCGCCGCCACCGGCCAGGGAGGCGGCCATGGCCACGTGTCGGGGTAGCGTGCAGGGCGCGTGCCGCGAAAGGGAGGAGAAAGCGAGGGACTGGGTGTGTGGGTGCGGGAGTGAGCGAGTGAGGTGAGTTGGGTAGCGGTGGCGCACATTGATGTTAGGCCGATCGGCGTGCAGGCCCAGAACGACACGTCCGGCGCGAACATGCGCAGACGGGCGCCCTCACAGAAGCATTATCGCTGGGAAAAGTCTATGTAATTATTCTTTTTTTGTCTACTTCACCCTTTAGACTACAAATCTATATATCCAATAACCTAAACTTACATAAACAAGGTATTTAACCCTTTTCTAGTGGTTTTGGTTCGCGGTTTTGCTGACATGGCGATCCAAGCTAGCTCACGTTGACATGTTGGCGCTTGGGCCCACGTGTCATTGCCCCACGTGCCATCAGATACGGTCAAAAGCCAGTGGCGTTGGGGTCTTGACAAGCGGCCAGGCTGACACGTCATCACCATCCCCACCCATGTTGCTGGGATTGGTCAGACAACTACGAGTGACTATTAGTATTATATATATTCATCTTATTTTTATAACTTTAACTAGATATATGCTCGTGAGAGTTGTATGGACCATGATTTTTTGTCCATTTTTCATAAGCACCCATTAACCTATATTGTTACAGAACCAGAGCTGCAAGCATTGTTCCTTACCGGAAACAAGACAACTCACCATGCTCCCGCTTATCAGCCACATAGTAGGATTCGCCTGCGGGGAATGAGGCATTAATGATAGACCGTTCCATTGTGGCCATGTCCAGCACTAGGATGTGAACCTTCCCAGAAAATTAGATATTTGGCACCGCTATCGTTTTCGCAAAATAGCCACTCAGTACGTGTGTCTCTCGTATCCTGCCATTGCACCCTTTGTTCCTTATTTTTTTCTATTTTTTTTGTATTTTCCTTTCTTGCGTACGGGACCGGAGTTGGAAAGGTCGCGTCTCTTCGTCTCTACACGACGGGCGATGCTTCCTCTTCCATACATGGTGATGGTGCCCAACGCGCCGCCGCCGCTAGATGCGCTATTGCCTCTCGGCACGGTGCTGCAGGTCGACACGCTGCCGCCTCCCGACGCGGTGCCCCGCCCGACGCGATCACCCTTGTGAGAACCATGAAGCCCATGCGATGTACACAGCGAGTTCGAGCCCATCGCAGCTAGCCACGGGATAGTAGTTGGCGACGTACTGGCTTCACACGACACAAGCACCTCTCAGGCTCTGCTTTCATTTCTAGGAGGACCTAGTTGGCGTGGACTCTGTAGACGTGGGTGGAGGCGAGCAGACGATCCCAACATAGACTCCGTAGACATGGGCGGACAGGAGATTGACGTCCTGTTCGTTTGGCTTATAAGCCGTACTTTTTCAGCCAACGAACAATATTTTTCTTTCACACCAAATTAGTCAACGATACTTTCAGCCATAGTTTATCGCCAAGCGAACGGGGCATGAATTTGCAGGCCACAATAACTCTATACCTTTTAGGCCTTAACGTGATTGCTTTGTTTTTAACTTAACTAACACTTAGCTCATACGTGATTGCTTTGTTTTGGGCATGTATGTACGTTATTTCTTTGGCTGAGTTGGCTACGTCCGTTTAAATAATTGGCGAGGCGGCTGCCTGTTGTGAACTCTATTTCGATGCGGGCACGTAGCGAGGCACACGACGATAACACTGCGCGCGAGGTGGCTGTCTGTTGCGGACTCTATTTCAATGCGGACACGTAGTGAGGCACACGACGATAACACTGTGCACGGTGTTGAAGTCTGCCGATAGGCAGCGGGAGTGAAGCGATTGATTAGCGCATGACGATGACATTAGTTATTTTTAGTGTAAAGATAAAGATTGAAAAAAGTTAACATAGTTTGACTTAAAACAAACTTGCAACCCTTATATTTCAGAAGAGATTACTCTTACTTAATAAGAAAGAAAAACATTTTTAAGCCATCTCAACTCCAAAGTCCAAACCAAGCAAACCAGCAAAGGCCTGCGGGCTTGGCGGAGACACGACCGATCCGATCGGACCAGGCAAGCTCCGGCGCGGCGCCTCCAGCTAGCAGAGGCAGAGCGCCGCTGTGCTCGCGCTCACTCCGACTCACAGCCGTGAGCCCCCATGGACGGCCCCCGTTGGACAGAGGAGGTGGACGACCTCGTCGACACCGGGGACGTCGACGGCGCCATCGCCCTGCTCGAGTCCGTCGTCTCCAACCTCTCCACCTCCGCCGCAGCCGCTCCCCCAGCCGCCGACCTCCGCCTCGCCACGGCGCTCGGCGACCTCGCGGGCCTGCACGCCTCCCGCGGCAACACCCTCCGCGCCGACGAGCTCCGCGCCCGCGCCATCGTCCTCCGATCCCGCGCCGCAGCCCCCGGGACCCTAGGGTTTGTTCCCCTTCTCAACGTCCCTTGTACCCCCGAACCTTCACTGTTGCGCTTAATGGTTGGACCCTTGCCTCGGCCATTTTGTTTAACTGATGAAATGTTGCTTTGTCTTTGATTGGGTTTGTTCATACATAGGATCCTAATGCGACACACCCTCTTTCTGTCAAACAATGTGTTTGTGCAGGGATAAGGAGCCTTCAGAGAAATGTTCATCACAAGAGGGTGCGATGGGTTTGAAGGACTCTCAAGGCTCAGCTAATACTGATGATAAAAACAATGAAGATGAAGAGGATGGTATTGTTTTTGTACCTTGTCTTTGCTATTTAACTCGCAGAAAATTGAGATCTTTCATTCCTTCTTTGGTGCTTGCAGATTGGGAGTCTATTGCAGATAGCGGTGCACTTGATGACACACTAGCGCGCTCCCTTGAGCAAGAAGCTAGAGTACCTTCCTGTGGCTCTTCAGAGAGAAGTGGCACCCCATCTTCAGGGCCCAAAAGGAGGGGTAGGGGCTCATTTCTTTACAATAAGAGTGTTCTGTACAGTGACCAGTGTGGTTCGGAAAGAGATTTGGATGACAAAGAGTCTAGTCCTCAGGGTGGATCTGGATCAAAGGGCCATGTGAATGAGCGGGAGAACAATGCTGTTACAGGTATTCAGGATATTCATTTCTATCTGTATGGTTAGCTTGTTCCTTCTGAGCTTTAGATGACAGACTTGATTCTTTGCCTTGGCTTTGTAGCTGCCGCACAGTTTGGGACAAGGCATGTCCTTATTTTATATGACTTTTCACCGAGCACACGCACAACAGATCTGGAAAGGATTTTTGAGAAGTTTGGGGATCATGGAGTTGCCATTCGTTGGGTTAATGATACTTCAGCACTTGCTGTTTTTCGGACTCCATCAGCTGGTAATTTTATTCTTACAGCTATTTCTAACTATATTCGTGTATAGTTCCTTCTTATGACATGATCTGCTGGGAGAGGCGAGGCCATGAGGTAACAGCACGTTTCGCCCCTGTTGGAAACAAATGCTGTCATCGGATGGATTAGACAAGTGTAGTTATCTGAGAAGAAATTTGTGAACTAAAATGTTAGGTGCTCTGATTCCATCCCTAAAACACGGTTATCCTCTTTCAGTTTGTTTATTCATCTACTCATAATACATGTCGTAAACTGCTCTGCATGTCGGGAGTGGATTGTTGTATTTTGCTGTGTTTCATGGTTAATTGCTCAGCTCAAATGTTTTGTGCTGATTTGCTGCTATTCCATTCTATTCTGTTAGGCTAGCACTTGATGCAGATGATATGAACTGTCAAGCCATCCACTGTTGCTGTTCTTGTAGCTTTGGTTCCATGTATTCTGATCACTTTATTCTTTCCAATCAATTTGCAGCTATTGAGGCTCAGGCTTGCATACCTCCAAGATACAAAGTGCGGTCACTGAAAGGGGATGATGATCTATTGGCAAAAATAGATGGTAAAGGTAACACCTGTGTCTTGTGATGATTCCTTTCTACTTGTTCCTCTCTTTTTCATGCTCTGTGGATTGTTGCATCTCAATCTTATGGTCTTGTTAATATTTTCTGCACACTGTGTTTTAAGTTGCTCTTGCACCTCGCTGCAGACTTAGAACCGCCCAAGCCAAGACCAAAGACATCTGCAAGAACAGCTCAAAGGCTAATTGCTCATGGAATGGGATTGAAGCAGTTTACAAACTTTGGAACCGATGAGCTGAAGAAACAGGAGGAAGAGAGAAAGAACAGAATTGCTGCTCGACAATCTATGCGTGATGAGGCTTGGGGTTCGGACTGATCCAGAGCATGTCAAAATGGCTGGTTGCATCCAATCGCGGCTGCCAGTTTGTTACACCGATGTTTTAGATGCTTGTACTATTTACATGGTTTTATGTCGTTTGGTTCCGAGACATAACAAGAGTGGCATGAAGACATAGAGATGTAACCAGATCACCTGTCACAGTGATGCTGAGTGCACAAAATGTTGTATTGGAATAGTGATCGGTACCCGGCATGGGTTTTCTCCTGAACTAAATGCAAAGTGCGGTATTCAGTGAATAGTTCATAGTTGTACCTTTAGTGGCAGAGCTGCGAATGTTGTCTGGTGACAGCATCTCGGCCCGTAATGAATGTCAGTCCAAATGTTTCTAAGACATGTCATGGAACATACATGTGTATAATCTTTGCATTCATGAAAAAAATTAGTATGGTTTGCATGCTTTTGAATTTAATTTCAGAATTTAATATCCATATTTTTAGCATGTGCTTGTGAAGAACTTTGGATTGCATCATAGCACATGTGCTATTAAATTGTATGATAAAATACTACTTTCTAAATCATGTATTTACATTATTTTCCATCAATTTTTGGGGCTAAACAGATTAGCGAAAATTTTAAAATATCCTTTTGGGAAGAATTTTAAATTTCAAAATCACCAAACTTATGATGCCAGATTTAAATAAATTGGTCACACTTGATTTATGGCATTTACTTGAAAAAATATACTATTTTTTAAAGATGTCCTGTTTGTTTCTAGGAATTGAGAGGAATTCAAAAGTAATCTAATAAAAAAATGGAAAGCATTTTATAGATGAGTTGTTTTGTAGGTGAACCTGAACCCATCTTCAGTCCCGAGGACCATGACGACGCGTGAAGAGTGATGGCCGGTAGCTTTTTACTATGGATGTGTGTTGGGCATGAACACTCCATGTTTTATGTTATGTAGTAATGTGTATGAGTGTGTGATGTTTACACTTTCCGCTGGGCAAACTCTAAAAATTATGTGATGTATATTTGAACCTCTTTTGTTAAAGTGGTGGGTTTCCTTGCACTCCTTAACGAGATGCTATTGTGGGCCAACTTCTCGTATCGACTCGAGTACGCAGTCTATGTGAGGGTGCATGAGCCGTGCATGGTGGACTATGTTGCCACCATGTTCATCTCAAAGCACCTTGTTGAAGGAATGACATGGCCGCACAACCTTTAGACCATGGGCACTTCTATGGAGATGGCAATTCAAGCAGTGGCACACAAGTCAATCTGGCTGGCAATTTAGGGGCACCTTTGGTTTAATGGGTGAATAGTTAAAATAATCTTCGGAATGCTAGGCGAAACAATGGCATTCCACCGGACCAGACATACTAGCCTCAAGTGCACATCAACACACACACACACACACAATTGCAACAGGTGAAAAGTAGAAAGAACATTATAGAGACGACCAACTGCACATCCATCCATTTCTCACCATTCGAAATGTGCCTTTAACCACAAACAGACCAACAATTAACTCTACTAAGCATTCTTCTTCTTTTTCCAACATTCTTATGAATAGGAGACACAAACAACTATTTACTCTAAAAAGGGGTAGGAAGCCTTAGACTAAAAAGAATATGAATGGAAATGCATCTTGAGAGCAGAGACGGTGACGATTCCTCTTGGCTCCTATTATTGAATCAGGGTACTATTTCACTAAGCACCTATCAATTCATTATATCATTAGGATCTCTTCAAAAAATTGGATTAAATATATCATTTATACCAAGGGGCGGTATAAGTTATTGGATTTTGGTGGCAAAGTTCTATTTCACCTAGCCTCCTTTACTCACAGAGTCAGGCTCTGGGTTTACTGCCTGCAACAACAAAGTTGTGCGCCCCAAAGCAAGTTCGGCCACCCGAGGCAGTTAAAATCTCGACGGAAGCAATCAAGATTGAGGCCTGGATAGAGGTCGGCGTTGGGGTCAGGGCAGGAGAAAATGGTGGGTGGGATACACATGATCGTGTCCATTGTAATCCTAATGTAGCTTTTCACCACAAGCTATTTCGATCATGGCAGGCCACCAACAAGACATGACTCTCCCCATCGATGTTGTACCGCACACGCTTGACATTCCGCTTCTTCTTACCGTCCCTGCAACAGTTTCACAGTTTCAAAGTTAGAACACACACATTATTTCATTGAGGTGGCAACACAGTACAACAGTTGCAAACTGAACTTATGGATACAAAACAAACAACTTACAGTGTGTGGTTATTGATGCCAGTGATAAATTACGGGCGGCGTCACAGAGCAGGCTCTCGCCTGCCTGCCAACGTGTTGTGCGCCGTGAAGCACTCCTCGGCCACCCGAGGCAGGCGATCTCGACGGAGAGGCCCGTGAGGCCTGGGCGGCGGGCGGCGATGGCGTCATGCAGGAGGAGCGTGGTCTCGCGCTCGCGGTTCTCGCACTGCGCCTTGTGCGGATGCTCCTCGAGCTTGTCGATGCGCTGGTTGAGGAAGCCTTCCATGTCCATCATCTTCTTGCACTGGTCCAGCTCCGGCATGGTGTTGAAGGCAAGCACCTGGGCCACCTTGGGCGCGTCCAGCCACACCTTCGGCTGCGACTCCCCCTCGCCGTACACCACCACACAGGCGTCAACGTTGCACAACGTCGCCAACACCCAGGGCTGCGCCCGTCGGCCCATAGGACTTGGATCCGGCATTTCTTGCTTGCCGCCGGCCATCCTGGCTGCTGACAAATTCAGAGCTCGAATGGGGAATAGGAGGGAGGGAGGAAGGAGAGGTACGGGTGGCCCTTTCTGGGCGTCGCAGCGGGCCACCGCCATCGCTAGTTGGAGAGCGGCGGCGGCGGCGGCGGCCATGGAAGCCAGCGCGACGGGGGGTTTGGCGGCTAGCAATTTAGCAGCACCTTTTTGCTTTACTGGATGAATAGTTAAAATAAGCTTCGGAATGCTAGATGATAGGCGAAACAACGGCATTCCACCACATCAACACACACCCCAACACGTGTTTTGTGTGTGTGTGTGTGTGTGTGTGGGTGTGTGTGTGAAAACACAACCGCAACAGGTGAAAAGTAGAAAGAATATTATAGAGACACGGCCACCTACACATCCATCCATTTCTAGCCATTCGAAATGTACCTTTAACCAGCAAGAGCCCAACAGTTAACTCTACTACAACATTCTTCTTTTTCCAACATTCTTATAAATAGGAGACACTCAGACAACTATTTACTCTCACAAAAGGGGTAGGAACCCCTAGAATAAAAAGAATATGAATGGGAAGATACTCTTGAGAGCAGGGACAATGAATATTCCTCTTGGCTCCTGTAACTAGGCTAACAATCACCAGCACCTATCAATTTCTGTCATTAGGATCTCTTCAAAAAATTGGATTAAATCTGTCATTTGTACCAAGGGGCAGTATAAGTTATTGGATTTGGGTTTTTGGTGGCAAAGCTAGAAATATTGCCACCAGGCCCTCTTTCACCCAGACTCCTTTACTAGTCAAAACTGTTGGGGTTAGGTTAGAGGAAATGTTGAGTGGGATAGGCATGCTCGTATCCATTGTAATCGTAATATAGCTTTTCACCACAAACTATATCACGGCAGGCCACCAACATGACATGGCTCTCCCCATCAATGTCATACCGCACACACTTGACATTCTGCTTCTTCTTGCCATCCCTACAACAGTTTCACAGTTAGAATATACACATCCTTTCACAGTTTCAAAGTTAGAATACACACATCCTTTCTTTGAGGTGACAACTCAGTACAGCAGTTGCAAACTGGACTTGTGGATACAAAACAAACAACTTACTGTGTGTGGTTATTGATGCCACTGATAAAGCGAGAAATGTTCCCCCGCTTGTCAGGGCAAATGACCAGCCTTTGGGAAGGGTCAGCTGTCAGGAGGAGCGTCATAATACAGTCAATATCATCGTTTGCTCTCTTCTCCAGATAATCGACATCCCCAGCATATTCGGCGAGGAAGGTCATATCCTTAATATCACCATCAGCCTGCACAGTGAAACTGGAAATATATATGCATAAGTGTCATTTCTGTGTACTAAAAATGTAAAGGAAAAAGTGAAACAAAGTGTGTAGTGGGTGACACAATTTGTGTATGTTGCACACACAAGTTCCAGAACACTAAGGGCAAGTTGCACACACAAGTTCTGAATTGGCATAGACAATTTTCCAATAAGTAAATAGTTCAGTGGTGCAAGCGGAGCCAAGGGGGGGGGCTGCATTGGAGTAAAAGTTGGGGGCTGGCACACCGCAAACTCTAAATCACAACAACAAAAATTAGTAGCATGACAATATTTTTTTATTTATATTTTTGTCATATATACCTATTAATAAGATAATATAATCATACAAAACACAACTAATAGTGTACTCAAGATTTACAAAGTCAAGACTGTTACCATTCACTTACCACTGAAAAAAAATAGGGAGATCCTAGGATAAATAAGAAATTACGAGCACCCGTTCAAGTCAATGAATTAAAGTCATGGAGTTGGTTTTTACTCTTTTCGCCCCTAAGTTTTTTGCATGGTTCTGCAGTTCAACTCTATAGAATCGAAACCACAAGAAGTGGAGGGCATTCGCCTTTTTTGCATGGGCACAACCTCTTTGGGCAGAACCTTGAAAGTCGAGGAGAGAAAAATTAGAACAACAAAACACCAAATGGTTATAACATAATTTCAGGTGAAAAGATTTGCTAACCTGCATACCGCCTACCTCCAATCTTGCCAGATTGGAAGATCTAGGAGCCATATTAGGCATGTAAGTCAGTTCATTACTGAACTCTGTTTTGGAAGACGTCAAAGCAGTGGCCAGAGACGCCATTTGTTTTAGTCTTCTAGCTCCATCTTCAGATGGAACAAATGGCAGTATCCTCCTCCTCTTCTTGTGCATAACAAGAGAACGCTTCCTTCGCCTTCTAGCATCTGAAAAAGATGAAGTAAATTACTTGAGTTAGTACCATAACAAGCACATCCCTTTCTGTACTCAATCTATCTATATTGTTTTCGATACTAGTTCACTTTTCTGTTTAAATCTAACAAGTATTCGAAACCCTATATTAGCTAGCATATCAGGCAATCATGTGCATCAAATTTTGCATTTTACAATATCTGTGAGATATATGGCTCATACACTTAACATAAAAGCTATTACCCCAAGTGTTTATCAATGCTAACTATTGAAGTTGAACTGCACATAAATAAAAACACAATTTACCGGAGCCTATACTACACCCAGTGACTAGCAATAAGACAAGGTAGAAAGGCAGGAACTATATATGGTTAAATGAAGACGACCAAGATAATAAGAGGGTACACACGCAACACATACCCACAACAGAAGCCAGTCAATCCATACAACCTTTATGAACAAAGTGAGCTACATGATTTGTTTCAACTCCACATTGCCATTATTATACTACTAAAAAACATGAAGCATAGTAGCATACTAACAAGAATTTCTGCATCAGACGTGTAATGATCATATCTTAACAAAGTAATTGCAGTAAAAAGACTTAGCAGGTGTCTAAGGCACAACCCCCACCCCTCTCTCCCAAAATAGAATCCAATTGAATAATAGCCTAACTGAGGCATTTTGCTCTATTTGAGGGTTGATCCCCTAATGCTGAGCTGGCACCTGGCAGAGCTGACAAGATGCTAACTTACTTTTGAATGCAAAAGATGCTAACTTACTAACAAGATGCTAACAAACCCCCAACAACTGATAACCTGATCGGCCTTAGCCACTAGTGGAAGCTGACCCCTTCTTCTTCCTGGTGTATTACTTGCCAATGAAAGCGTTCGCAGCAACATCACTTTTGACGTAACCATACTCTTTGCTACCTAGCCCTGTTCGCTTGAACTTATCAGCACAGCTTATCGACCATGGTACAGTGTTTTCCTCTCACAACAAATAAGCATCAGCTGGCTTATCAGCCAAATTTCAGCGAAACAAATAAGCATCAGCCGGCCTAATCACAGGGGATATTGCAGGCAATGCTGCTTAGATCAGCTAGCCATGCAGTCAATACAATTGCACAATCAAACATATAACAGCCATAAAGATGTGACTGACATACTAAAAGGAATATCCACTACCACTAGCTCTTATCAGGTGCATTACCGATCAAATTTTAGACAAATAAATTACAGTAATTGAACCACTCATAAACAAACAAATAAATGGTACAAATATGGATTTGTTACAGACAGGTCAAAGGAAGGAAGTATTCTTTATGGCTAAATGAATGTAGACAAAATAATCAAGAGGGTACACATATACCGCTAACAGAAATAAGTCAATCCTTACAACCATAAATGATCTAGAAAATGAACCCCAAGTTGCCGTTACTACTTAAAAAACATGTATGACTAACACAGATTAAATATTTGTCCCGTAATACTTTCCTGCCAATTTCCAGTCATGATGCAAGCGAGCACTTCACATTTTAATGTAACTGTATTCTTTGTTGCCTAGACTTTGCAATTCACATGGTATATTTGCAGGCAATGATGCATCAATAGGCTAGCCATGCAGTCAATACAATTAAACAATCAAACATACAAAACCTAAAAAGGTGTGACTACGAGTGGCATGCTAATAAGGATATTCACTATCAAGTGCATCAAACCTGTAAAAACTACCGTAATTGAGCCGCCCATAACTAAAAAAGAACACGACTCACTGGACCCTGTACTAATACAAAAAATCCAAAGGCGGGGACTATTTTATGTCTAAATGAATCCAGCCAAGATAAACAAGAGGTTACAGATATACCAGAACCAGAAATCAGCCAATCCATACAGCCATAAATGATTTAGAAAGTGAAACACATGATTTGTTTGGACCGCAACTTGCCATAATAACTACTTAAAAAGCCATGCATAACTACAGAGATGAAATGATTGTCCAGTAATGCTTTCCTGCCTATTTCTAGTCGTGATGTAAGATAGTACATCACATTTTACTGTAAACCCTTTTTGTTGCCTAAAATTTCCAATTCGCATGGCATATTTGCAGGCAATGCTGCGACGATCGGCAAGTTATGCAGTCAATGCAATTGCACAATCAAGCATACAAGACCCAAAAAGATGTGACTGGCGTAGTAACAGGAATATTCGCTACTGCTAGCTCTTAGCAGGTGCATCGAACTTGTAGAGATTACAGTATTATACTGCCCATAAAAAACAAATAAATAGAATGCAACTCACTGGAGCCTTGTATACTAATACAATACATCCTAGGGCGGAAACTATTGTTATGTCTAGTGAATGCAGCCGAGAAAACCAAGCAGGTAAACATACATACCAGAACCAGAAGTAAATCCCAATCCGTACAACCATAAATGATCTAGAAAGTGAAACTTGTGATTTGTTTGAACTGCAACTTGCCGTTACTACTTAAAAAGCACGTGTAACTAACCCAGATTAAATGTTTGTCCAGTAATGCTTTCCCGCCTATTTCCAGTCATGATGCAAGCAAGCATGTCACATTTTAACGCAAACTATATTCTTTGTTCCCTAGAGTTTCCAATTCACAGGGGCATATTTGCAGGCAATGCTGCAACAACCAGCAAGCTATGCAGTCAATAAAATCGCACAATCAAACATACAAGACCCAAAAAGATGTGACTGGCGTAGTAACAGGAATATTCACTACTGCTAGCTCTTAGCAGGTGCATCGAACCTGTAGAGATTACAGTATTATACTGCCCATAAAAAATAAATAAATAGAACGCAACTCACTGGAGCCTTGTATACTTACATCCAAGGGCGGAAACTATTGTTATGTCTAGTGAATGCAGCCAAGAAAATCAAGCAGATAAACATATATACCAGAACCAGAAATAAGTCCTAATTCGTACAACCATAAATGATCTAGAAAGTGAAATGCATGATTTGTCTGAACTGCAACTTGCCGTTACTAATTAAAAAGCACGTGTAACTAACCCAGATTAAATGTTTGTCCGGTAATGCTTTCCCGCCTATTTCCAGTCATGGTGTAAGCAAGTATGTCGCATGTTAACGTAAACTGTATTCTTTGTTGCCTAGAGTTTCCAATTCACAGGGGCATATTTGCAGGCAATGCTGCAATGATCAGCAAGCTATGCAGTCAAGAAAATTGCACAATCAAACATACAAGACCCAAAAAGAAGTGACTGGCATACTAACAGGAATATTCGCTAATCGCTACTGTGCTCGTAGCAGGTGCATCGAACCTGTAGAGATTATTACAGTATTACACTGCCCATAAAAAAACGAATAAATAGAACGCAACTTACTGGAGGCTTCTATACCAATGCAATACATCCAGGGCAGAAACTATTGTTACGGCTAACGAATGCAGCCAGATAATCAGGAAGGTAAACATATATACCAGAACCACAAATAAGTCCCAATCCGTGCAACCATAAATGATCTAGAAAGTGAAACACATAATTTGTTTGAACCGCAACTTGCCGTTACTACTTAACAAGCACACATAACTAATACAGATTAAATCATTGTCTGGCAATGCTTTGCCGCCTATTTCTATTCATGAGGTAAGCAAGTATGCCACATTTTAACATAAACTGTAGTGTCTGTTACCTAGAGTTTCCAATTCACAGGGGTATATTTGCAGGCAATGCTGCAACGATCAGGAAGCCATGCAGTCAACAGAATTGCACAATCAACTTCAAAAAAAAAAAAAAATGCACAATCAAGATCAAACATACAACACCCAGAAAAGACACAATCGACGTACTAACAGGAACTTTTGCTAGCATGGCTCTTGACAGATGCATCGAAGGTGTACAGATGACAATGTAGGAGGACATTTAGACACAGAAAGAAAAATATATACTAGAGTGCAAGATAACCAACAAGAATTAAAAAGTAATCTATGAGCAGAACGAATTCAACAATAGAGAAGCCACCGATTCATGGATCATCCAAAGCAAGCAATGAGGGGAAAAGGTCTCGCATTTCATACGACATTAAATTATGCAATGCAATGGTGCACGCAGACGCAGGTGGGAGGAATTACCTTGGGAGAGCCTACATTTGGGGGCCTGGGCATCCTGCCCATCCTTCTGAATCCCGAAGAAATCGATGATCTTGGTCTGCTTCATCGGGAATCCTAAAGATCCCCACAAAAAAAGGAGGAAAAGCAGTGAGATATAATAGCACAACAGGAAGGAAGGAAGAAGATAAAGAAAGGAGAGCGGGGGAGGGAAATGGCGAGATGGAGGCGGCGAGGAAGGCGGGGAAAGACGCACTCTTGGGGGCCTTGGCGGGCGGGGCGCAGACGGGGCAGAACCAGGGGCCGATGGGGACCTTGGCGGCGATGGGGCGGAGGCAGAAGGTGTGGTGGCCGCGGTCGCAGCGGTCGCAGAGGAGCAGGTCGTCGTCGCGGTCGCCGGAGCCGCAGGTCTCGCAGATGAGGTTCTCGTAGTAGGTGTACACCGGCGCGCGGGCGACGGGGGGCGGCGCGTCGACGGCGCGCGCGCGGCGCATGACGTCGTCCATGGAGCAGTAGCGCCGCGGCGTCGGCGGCTCCGGTGTGGGCGCCGCCGTGCGCTTGCGCCCGAGCTGCGGCGAGCTCGGCGATGGCGACGGCGCGGCGCGGCCCATGGCGGCGGAGGAGAGGAGGGGAGGGGAGGTGCCGGGTGCGTGCGTCGCGGTGCGGTGCGGCCTCCCTCTCCTCCTCTCGGTGGGGGAGAGAGCCTGACGCGAGAGACAGAGAAGACAAGGCCACAGGGGAGAATGGGGGGCGATGACGTGGCGTCGACGGTGGACTCGCTCGCTTTGGTAGCTGTGTAGAGGAAGGGAAGAAGGCCGCGGTCAGAGCCAGAGCATCCAGAGGCCTGCGCCGCGTCGCGTCGCGTCGCGTGAGGCTGAGGGCTGCTACAGCTACTGCCAGTCGGTCACTCTCCAGGTGTGACGGCCGCCAGTGAGGAGCGAGCGAGCGAGGAGACCGTTGCCATGGCCAAACTCTCGTGTCGTGTGTCTCTGGCTCTCGCTCACCACACCACCGGCTTCTTTTTCTCGCTTTCCTTTTTTTTTTGTTTTGTTTCTCGTGTTCCTTTCTAAAATTCCTTTTTCATCTTTTCAACAGTGTCTTTTGTCGAATTAAAGAAAAAAAAGTTACCGTTTTCTATGGCAAGGTTTACAAACTCGGTTGTTTTTGGCTTATTACTTTCTACCAGGGATTGAGGGTAGAGCAATGCATCATGTTTTAATTGAAATTGTATATGTATGATATACAAATTTCTTTCATTTGTTTTTTTAGAAAAAAGAATTGACATGAATTAACAAAATCTTTCTGCCTTTCCTTCATTCTATAGAGAGAGGCTAGGGTTTCCTAGCATTGACTGTGTAGATGGAATAGAAAAGAAGTATTTTATTTCACCTATAAAATATCGACCAAAATTGGCAGGCACTTTTATATTGTTGTAGAATTTTGAAATAAAATCTAATGTGCCAACTCATCTGGTTTGTCTGTTGCTAAAAAAACGTGGATGGCCAACGTCAGCCCAACTTTGGCCACAAAATTAATGAGTAGCAACAATGTCACCAAAATCAAATGCCCACCGCTCCCATAGTAGCCCATGGGTTTTGAATCTGGTCAAAGTTTCAATCGTCAATTACCAGTGGAGAGGTGTACACGGAACATCAGCATTTGGCAGGAAAAATATTATTTCGTCCAAGTGTCTTGGAAAAAATTTATTTCGTCCAAGTGTCTTCTTCCAAGGTTACAACTATCATGATCTTGATACCTAATCTAGTCTAATTCCAGCACCAGCCCCCAACCCAACCGCCCTAAAACCTCCTAGGCATATATATAAACTGATAAACAAGAAAAGTGGGAGAGCCCCAACTCTTGCAGCTCTGGAGCTCACACCTCATTAACCAATCTTCTTTCTTCAACCAGCGCGTTTCCATTTTGCAAGTTAAACACAACCTTCTCACCGACAATAGCCTGTTCCTGATTTCCTGTGCATCCGATGAAGGTACCAACCTTCTCACCGACAATAGCCTTTGCAATGTTCCCAGTCTTTTGCAAGTTAAACACAACAACTGCGAAATGACACGATAGATTAAAAAATTAATGAAATAAAAAATCAATACAAAAGTTAAACTGATAGCATGCGTACTGGGAATGTTGTTTTCTTGGCATAGTGTAATAGCAGTCATATCCATTACTGAGAGATCTCTTGTCGTAACTTCATGATAGCTCACAGTCTCAAGAAGGCGGGCATTTGGATTATGCCTGGGGTCCGCATCATACACACCATCAACATTTGTCGCTTTAAGCACTACCTCTGCATTGACTGCTCACATAATAATAGCAGAAAAAAGGCGTCAATGGTACAATAAACTAAGCAAAAAAAAAAGAACTAATGAAATAAGTGTTGTTCATCTGAGATGTTCAAGCTCACACCATGATAGCATGAATCCGTAGGCACAATAGTGACTAAATGATTGCTTGTGTAAATATGTAGTAATAGAGTCAGTGAAAACACATCCTAACACAAATTTAGTACAAGTCGCAGAACTGTGGATGAAATCAACTATTCCATCCACAGCTTACATATTTCACTTAATCTGCACCAAAGTGTTCTCAATGTATGTATCATCACACAACTAAAAGAACAAGGTAATAAGTAGATAGCTAGTATAAAAAGTGTTGCCATGAGACTCCTAGTTAGTCAAATGACCTGCAAACTATAGCACAATAACTAGTGCTTAAGCAACTATTTTTAAAGGTGAATAAATAGACATCTTTGCCTTTATCAAGATTTTTTTTAATCACAACAGTTCATCAGTGAAGAGTGGAAGATGAACCCACTTTCGGCACAACGGAGAGCAGCAGCTGTATCAGTTGTGAAAAATGGGTTCCCTGTTCCTGCAGCAAATATGACAACTCTTCCTTTCTCTAAATGCCTTACAGCTCTTCGGCGTATGTATGGTTCTGCAACTTCTGACATACGGAAGGCAGTTTGGACACGGGTCGGTATTCCAATGCTCTCCATTGTTGCTTGAAGAAATATAGCATTCATCACAGTGGCCAACATGCTGAATTAGGAAAGCATAATAAGATGTACTGTTGTTTTAATAGCACGAAACCATACAATTGCTTGCCACAAGAATGTCTTTAAAATGAGCAGTAGAGTCACAAAATGTTATGGGAAGATAATAATTAATAAACTACAAGTGGCTGGAGCTTTGATAAAATTACAGGTTCCTTAAAATGTACTTATGATTTCCACTCAGTAAACTATTTTGATGGAATACTCTAGAAATACAAGCAGCTTGAATATTAGGCATGAATAAATGTGTCGATACTTGGGCTCACTTTTTGTTTCATTATCTGGCTTAGCTATATCACACTTTATTGCATCTCAACTTCTTTTGAACGCTACTTAACAGCTGACTAGCTGAGCATAGAATAAGGGAATGAAAATATATGAGGCATTGAACATCTTACCCGATGTAATCCGCAGATGAGCGGTCAAGACCACTACATCCAGCCCAAGAGGCCCCACGGAAGATATTGCCACCGCCAACAACAATAGCAACCTGCAAAGGGCTCTCACAATTTTTAATGCACAACATATGATTACTTTAGAGAAAACAAAAGATAATTACAGCATAATCGAACCATTGAAGGATGCACTTTTTACTTCATCGATTCTAAATCTTGAACCAAGTAATCCAAGATGTGAAATAAATGAAAGGCGGTAGAGAGGACACACCTCTACACCTAGCTTGGTGACAGAAGCAACCTCTCTTGCAATAGCCATTGTAATCTGCCATAGACCACACATTTACATCAAATTCCATGACCCACTCACATAAATCGTCTGCTGTCACAGCATTTAAAGATGCTCAGCCAAAAGAAGGTTAACCTTTGGGTCGATGTTTTCTGTGTGATTCCCAGCAAGTGCTTCCCCACTTACTTTAAGCAATACCCTTTTCCATCTATATGGCCTTTTGGAACTAGAAGAATCTTCGTCGAATGTAAAGCTGAACGGCAGCATCAGTGAGGTTTGATTTCTGACAAACAAATGAAAGAGGCATGGAATGAATGATGGAAGGTAATCCAGAATTACATAAGACCCAATCCAATTTGTAGCGCTTGAACTTTCCAATTAGCCGCAAATGATCTAGCGCTTGAGGGAAACAAACATCCTGGGAACTAGTACAACGCATTTCGTCTAACATCCCAACAAAATCACCATACCATACCACACACGCGCCATCACCCACTCACAATCACATAGAGCACGTGGAGGCGTCGCGCCAAAAGAAACGACGCGGGTTTCCGGCGGAATGTAAAGCTGCGTACCCGGAGTTGGAGGAGGAGAAGCCGGAGCCCGTGGCGGCGCAGGCGCAGGCGCGGCGTTTGGCGGAGAGGGAGAGAGGAGCGGCGACGGGATGGGCTCTCAGTCCGGGCGAAGGGAGCACAGGAGACGGGGACCGTGGCGTGGCGAGGCGCGGGAGGAAGGTAGCAGGCACCGCGGCGGCGGCAGAGGCGGCCATGGTTGCGTTGCGTGTGTCCTGTGGTTGCGTTCCGGGATGGAAGGAGAAGCGAGGAGAGGATGATGGGGGTGGTCCAGCCGCCAGAGGGAGGAGAGAGATTTTTTGAAGGACTCGGGTTAAATGGGCCGGACATGTGATATGGGTTGGTTTTGGGGGAGTAAGAGGGTAGTAAGCTGTAAGCACTTGTGCTCGATTTGGTAGGCAGCTGGCCCAAATACTTGCCGAGCAGTAGTAGCAGGAGGGACTTTCCCTAAAAACAAAAGTAGCCAATATTCCTGTTTGCCTTCTCTAGACAAAAAGATGTCACACATATGAAAGTTAATTTTCAAACCCCAAAATTTCTCAAAAGAGCGTAGCAGCATTAGCTTCATATTCTTAGCCTATTCTAGATCATAGGTTAGAAAAAGGGTTGTATCATCCGCACATTGCAAAATAGGCAACCCATCATCCACAACTTGAGGTATGACTACCCTAATTTGATCATCGTCCTTTGCCCCCCCCCCTAATTAATATCAAGAGCATGTTAGCTACAATGCTAAACAATATAAGGTGGCATAGGATCTCCTTACATGCGTCATTTTTTGTTTGAAAGTAATGTCCTCCCATGACATTTTTTGATCCAACTACACCAATATTGTCTAAACCCTTTCATACCAAGAGTTTACCATTTACCTTATCATAGACCTTTCCAAAGTTAATCTTAAAGGATCACCCTAACTAGCTTATTCATGTGTAGTTCATGGATGATTTCATGCAATATCATCATCCCTATCAGTATGTTTCATCCATTTGGGATGGTGGTACCACATTTGTAGCCAGTTCCATGAGTCTATTTGTGTTTACGTAGAAACTTTGAAACTCTCATTGAGCAGGTAGGTCGGTCTATACTGTTGTATCTTTGTTTCCTCCATTTTTGGAAGAATGGTAATTATTCCAAAGAGGCTATAGAGAGCGAGGATTTCTTCATGAAAATGAGGCTATAATGTTGTATCTTTATCCCCCCCCCCCATTATAATCCTTCAAAACACCTAGTAGAACTCTGCTGGGAATCCATCATGTGCATGTGATTTATTGTGTTCCATCTGGAATACTACGTCTTTTATTCTTTCTCTACAAACAAAGATAATGAGGAGGTTATTTCCTTCTTTGGTGAAGGGGTATATTTTGGTTTCGGTTTTCCACCGTCCTAAAACCATTTTCCTTTGGTGGTCCAAATAAACCCTTGTAATAGTTTGTGATATATGTTTCTAATTCAACATCACCCACTATTATACCCCCATCTTCTTGTCTAATTTGAAGATTCATTGTCTGTTGTTTCCTATATATGTTTCCCATTATCAATCAAGTAAGTATTGTGTATTATCATCACCTTTTAGGAGGTATTTTGTTTTAGCTCTCTCATACTATTTGGCATCTTCCTCTTCTAGCAATTGAACTAATCTGTTCACGTCTGGCTGCTTGCATAATCGTGTTGGTGGTTCACTAGAACCAAATAAAGCTCTCATCACGCCCTACGCTATTTCTTGACAGTAAAGAGATCTAAATTGATGACAATGATCCGACAACTCCTCAAGCTCTAGGGTTGCTGGAGGAGGAAGGATATATAAAATGAAAAAGAACTAGGTTCTAATTAGTGGTTGCAATAGCAGTGCACGCCGCCAGGCCAAGCTCGTGCAAAATGTTGGCCTACGAAAAGACGACATGTTCAATAGATAAGTGTCACAGAAATGCGTATGTTGCGTTGTATTTGCGGTCATACAAGAAGGGATCGAGTTCGGAACGATGATATACGTGATAGATTAGGGGTAGCACCAATTGAAGAAAAGCTTGTCCAACACCGGTTGAGATGGTTTGGACATGTCCAACGGAGACCTCCATAGGCACCGGTGCGTAGTGGAATCCTAAACTAGGATAGTAACGTGAAGAGAGGCAGAGGAAGACCGAAGTTGATTTGGGTAGAGGCAATAAAGGAGACTTGAAAGGATGGAATATACCCAAAGACTTAGTCTTAGATAGGAGTGCTTAGAAAACAGCTATTCACGTGCCTGAACCTTGATTGCTTCTGCTGGGTTTTAACTCTAGCCTACCCCAACTTGTTTGTGACTTAAATGTTTTGTTGTTGTTGGTGGTGGTGGTGCACAACAAGCTGAAGCAATGGCTTTCTTGAAAGGAGTTGAGCATGCTGCTCGGCTGGGCATGCAACGCATTATTGTGGAAACTGATGCTGTCAACGTGGTCAGTGCCTTAAACGGAATATATTTTGATAGATCTTTTTTAGGCACTATGTTTAGAGAAATAAGAGCAAAAATGATGTATGATTTTGTTGGGAGCTCTGTTTCTCATTGCCCTAGGGCTTGTAATTCAGTAGCTCATACAGTAGCAGCAATTGGTCTAAATTGTAATAATGGACCTGTTTTGTGGCAGGGCCATTTACCTGAATACGTTGCTGTTCTAGTGTCCAGTGAGTTGGCTGGACAAAGTGATTAATAGATATTTTACTTCAAAAAAAAAGAGCAGAGGTTTATGCGTCCAGTTCTATGAAGCTAAGACGGCTGCGGGCTGCCCCTCCTACAGTCCTACATATGCTTGCACTTGCCTTTTGTACCCATGCTTGTCTGGAGAAGATGAGATCTTGGACCAATAATAACGCAGCAGCTGTGCTAGGTGACCATCAGCAGCTAGCCAATCAAAAAGGAAACATGAAATTTCTGAGTTTTCCTTCTTCACATGAACCTGTCATGCTTCTGTATAGCTAATTGAGAAGAACATTATTATAACATGCATTGTACCAACTCACTTTCACATTGTACACATATTTTTTTTTTAAAAAGGGAATCAGATAATCAATCATGATTTTTGTACCACGAACATGCCGTATGTATTTCAGTTAAAAAACTACATTGTATTTATATATTACATCTTGTATTCAAGTCTGACGAGACTGAAACACTTCTTCAGAGTACAAAAATCATGGACCCTTTCAAGGCTGTGAGGAGAGCTGAATATTGCTACTCATATTCTCCATCTTCCCCGTCCTGTTATCCTGTTACAAGTTAGAATCCTATCCTATTATATTATATCGATTTTCATCCACTCCATCCTTGTCTCTCTCTCTGTTTCTTTGGGGACGGACGAGTAAGTTTTTTCGGTGCAAGCACGGGAGTACCAACACACCCTTTTCGTTCATTTACTCAACGGAGTTCACTGAAATAGGGCAATGAATCCCAAGCAACGGAAGCAAGCAGCTAGCGCAGGTTGAGACTTGAGAGGGGTACAGCAGTAGGTGTAGGCACTAGGCAGGCAGGCATGTGCACTAGTGCAGCTAGCAATGGCCTCTGCCTGCTTTGAAAGACAGGCGACGGACGGAGCAAACATATAGGCAGGCTGTACGTAGGAGACCTCTTCAGACTGAAACCCTTCTGCTGTTGGTTGGTTAGCGATCTTGCTCCCGCTGCCTCCCCCCTTCCCAGCTCCTACTCAACTCAACAAAAACATCGGAATGGAGGACGACGATCCGGCAGCTGCTGGCCTGACCGTCCCAGAGGCCTTCATCCGCCAGGTCAAACTCAGCGTCGCAAGCAACGAGGAGATCGTAAGCACCTCTCCTCTCTTCCCTTCACGTTAGTTGTCTCCTTCCATCAACTCTCCTTGTCTGACTAGCTCATGCATCTTCTTCTCCGATGAACAATGACAGAAGCTCATGGCACATCCGGTGGAGGACCCCATCCCGATCACGCACTGCAGCCAGCTCCAGGACAACCCATCGCTGGGGCTGCCCCTGCAGGACGGCAGTAGATGCGAGTCCTGCGGCGCCACACAGCTCGACAAATGCGAAGGGCATTTCGGCTTCATCAAGCTGCCGGAACCCATCTACCACCCCAGCCACATCGCCGAGCTGGGGAAGATACTCAACCTCGTCTGCCTCCGTTGCCTCCGCCTCAAGAAACCCAAGGTACGCGCGTGTCAGCCAGCCAGCCACGGACAAGAACCCTGCCACAATTCAGAGAAATCATATCTGTTAGAGTTACAAACATAATGCCTCACATGCTTCTTCTTTTTTCGTTTATTATGCTCAAGCAGAAGGGCACCGGGAAAGAAAGCAGATTCACCTCATGTTCATACTGTCAGGTGCTCCATAATAATTTGTGACTGATCAAACGACAGTATCCTTCCTGTCATATTGTTCATACAAATTTGCTCACTTAATCACTTGGGTTGGTTGGAACACATATATATCCTCAAATATCAAATCATGTCTGATGGTCACAATTTCCTATGTTCAGCACATTCCTGATGTAAAAAAAGTGCAATCTGGAGCACTACTTTGCTTGAACAATTAAATAGTGCCGCTCTTACAAATCCCTGCATTCCTCTTGTTCCAGGATCTCACACCACTATATGTCAGTCAAGTGAAGAAATCCAATGGCGCCCATAGCTTGGAACTGAAAGTGCCATTAAAGCAAGAGGTTGCTGATGGGTTTTGGAACTTCCTTGATCAATTTGGCTTCCACACAAGCGGTTCATCTCACCGCCGCCCCTTACATCCAAAAGAGGTACTCGACGATTCTGAGCAATATCTACACTCCTGAAACCTTTCCAATGTACTCACAGCTTGTTCAGAGGGACTCACAGCTTGTTCTTCGATTTCTTAGGTTCAGGACATAATGAAGAAGATCACTGAAGAAACAAGAGCTAGGCTTGCTGCTAGGGGATACAATCTTCAGGATGGATTTGTGATGGATAACATGTCCGTCCCACCCAATTGCCTGCACATTTCAAATATGTTAGATGAGAACACAGAAATGTGCCCTCCTGTAAGTACCTCCTGATAAAACAATGAGATTGCATAGGACCCCCTCCTTCCAGATCATTATAATTACTCCTGATTGTCCCTTCCTGATTTAGGAAACACCAAAAGGCTTGTTGTGGAAAGTCCTACGCACGATAGAACAAATCAAAAGCTTAAATATCAACCACCCAAATTTTGAAGCACGTGAGTTAGGGGCAGATGATCTTCAGGTAGCTGTCGCCGATTACATGAATATGGGAGGGGCAGCAAAGGTACCTATAGCTAATCTGTAAAATAAAGTAGAAATTATGTTATTGATCATAACTGCAGCAACATAATGTGTTATCGTCTTATGTCTTTCGAAGGTTTCCCAGCATGCCACCTTTACAAGACAGCCTGCACCAAAACAGTGGCATAAAAATATGAAGGCCCTCTTCCTTAGTAAGAGTTCAAGCTACACGTGCCGTGCAGTGATCACTGGTGACCCATACATTGGCCTTGATGTAGTAGGGGTGCCTGATGAAATAGCAAGAAGAATGTCAGTACAAGAATGTGTCACAAACTACAACATTGCTCGGCTGCAAGACATGATGGATAAAGGACTATGCCTGACATACACTGATCTCAATACCAACACATATGACTTGGATGGGAAGAAAGGAAACAAGAAGCGCATCATGCTGAGGGTTGGTGAAACTGTAGACCGAAGAGTCCTTGACGGGGATCTCGTCTTCCTCAATAGACCACCAAGCACTGACATGCACTCAGTTCAAGCCTTATATGTCCACGTCCATGATGACCACACCATAAAGATCAACCCGCTCATCTGTGGCCCACTTGGAGCAGATTTTGATGGCGATTGTGTTCACATCTTCTTCCCAAGATCAGTTCCAGCAAGGGTTGAAGCTGCAGAGCTCTTCACTGTGGAGAAACAACTGCTGAACTCCCACAATGCGAAGCTGAACTTTCAGATCAAGAATGATTACCTACTAGCTCTGAAGATAATGTGTGACAGATGGTATTCTAGAGAAAAGGCAAACCAAATTGCCATGTTCCCATCAGGGATGATTCCACCGCGCAATCGTCAAACTATTCGCGATCGTTGGACTATTCCTCAGATTCTACAGGCTACCGATGCATTAAGAATCTTACCAAGCCACCCGGACACTGTTGGAGCCTCAGTTACTGCCATCATCTCATCAACTCTTTCAGAAAAGGGTCCAAGGGAGGCCATAAAGCTCATAAATCTTCTGCAGCCCCTCCTAATGGAATCATTGTTTATGGATGGTTTCAGCATTAGCTTGAAAGATCTTGATGGCCGGAGTGCAATGCAGAAGGCAAATCAAAGTATTTCGCTTGAGATCGATGAGTTCAGCAAGTCAACTGTGGACTTCATTGCTAATTCCTCTGCCCTTGGTCTGCTCGTTGATCCAAAAAATGATTCAGCTCTGAAGAAATTAGTTGAGCAGATTGGTTTCTTGGGCCGTCAACTGCAAAGCACTGGTAGGTTATATTCTAGCAACTTAGTGGAGGACTGCTACAACTTTCTGGAAAAGTGCAGCTGCAGCACCAAGTGTTATGATCCACCAAAGGGACATGATTTTATTACGAGTTCATTTTACAATGGTTTAAACCCATATGAGGAACTACTACACTCAATATCAGTAAGGGAAAAGATAGAGCGCGCATCATCTAAAGGACTGGCTGAACCTGGCAATCTTTTTAAGAACATGATGGCAATGCTCCGAGATGTCACAGTATGCTATGATGGAACCATGAGAACATACAGCAACTCAATTGTACAATTTGATTCGACAAATGTATCACGTTCTGTGACACCAGGTGATCCTATTGGCATCATAGCAGCCACTGCATTTGCAAATGCTGCATACAAGGCAGTGTTAGATCCAAATCAGAAAAACATGACATCTTGGGACTCAATGAAGGTGGAGTGCTTAGTAGATCCGTTCCATTCCAAGTATAATTTAATATGTTGAGTATAATGACTTCTATATGTTACTTTACAGGAAGTACTTCTTACCGATGCTTGCTCTAAAACTGGTACCATTGACCAAAAGGCAATTTTGTATCTGAACAAATGCTTTTGTGGACTCAAGTTTTGTATGGAAAGAGCAGCACTCAGGGTGCAATCCTGCTTAAAAGGAATCAAATTGGAGTATTGTGCCACTGAGGTTTCCATCAAGTATGCACTATGCACTTCCTAGTTATTTATTTCACCACATTGTAGTGCATTTGTTGAATACTGTTAGCCTACTTGATTAAAAAGAATGCTTGGACTAAACTGTGTTGATAGTATTATATTACAAAAATGATTTAAAAGCCTAATAACACTTGAAAATTACAAATAACCTGAGCTGATGTAAACTGGTATTTTATTCAACTTTGCTCAGTCCACCTTAAGCCACAATGTGGAGTTATAATAATAGCAATCACTTATGGTTTCAGCGTATGTTGTTATCAGTCCAATCACTGTCCTATTTCAGGTACCAGCAAGAAGCAACTCAAGCAGCACAATGCCTTGTTGGTCACATTCACCTAAATAAGGTATATCATTCTACTTCTAAAATAATATTTATCTATTATTCAGAATTGTCACTAATAATATTGCTTTCTGTTGCCACTGTAGGAGCAATTGAATCGGATGGAAATAACTATGGGAAATATTCTTCAAACATGCCAAAAAATTATCAATAAACATGTAACGAAAAATAGGCAGTTGATGCAAATTTTGAAGACAACTGAAATAGTTTCAAGGTGCTTCACTTTTCTACAGTATAGTGCTGAAATAGCATGGATATTTTTTCCCATTTCTTTCAAATGCTTACTTACTGTTTAGACCCACTAATATCGAGTAACATAGGCATAGTTCAGCTATATTAGCTAAAGCCTGTAATAACCTAATTTTTACCTCATAAATTGTCCAGTTCTAATTCATACCTTCTTAGTAAACTTCTTAACATGATGTCTTCTCTTTGCAGTGAATACTGCTTGTGTGACCAGGATATAGGTGATGATCGAGCCTTGCAAGTTTCCTGCTTGCAGTGTTTCATCCATGCAAGCACCACCACAGCGCTATCTGAATCTAATGTTATCCAGATGATGACCAATACCATTTTTCCTATACTCTTGGGCACGATTATAAAAGGTTATAACATAATTCACATTGACATAACATCGAATGGAAAACACAAATACATAAATTATGCCTTTTGAAGTTCTTCTTACTGTTGAACCACTCTTGCCTCATCTCATAGGTGATCCTCGAGTACAGGAGGCTAAGTTGATATGGGTTGAACCACAATTAACACGTTGGGTCAAGAACTCCAGTGCAGAGCAAAAAGGAGAACTGGCACTGGAAATCACAGTGGAAAAGATAGCGGCTGCAGAGAGCGGTGGCACCTGGGGAGTAGTAATGGATGCATGTGTCCCTGTGATGGATCTAATTGACACCACCAGGTCTGCACCTTGCAATATCCAAGAAGTTCAAAAGGTGTTTGGCATTTCCTGTGTCTTTGATCGAGTCGTGCAGGTTGGTTCTTGTCTTCTGCCTTTCTGATTAATTCAGATCAACTAAAGCTTATATTGAAAGGTTTCTCATGTTCTGCCCTCCTCTCGGATCATTCTTTCAGCACCTTTCCAAGGCTGTTGGGATGGTTACAAAATCAGTTCTCATGGAGCACCTGATAACCGTGGCAAGCAACATGACCTGCACAGGTAGCTTACATGGCTTCAATAGATCTGGTTCCAAGGCCACATTCCAGTCCCTGAAGGTTCAGGCGCCATTTACTGAAGCTACACTGTCTGTAAGTGTCGTATTTTTTTTTTTTGAGTTCCCTATTTTGGTGCTCCAGTGCCTATTGCAAACCATAATACAAAAATGAGGAAACATGCTGCAGAGACCAATGCAATGTTTCCAGAAGAGTGCAGAGAAGGTAGACTCTGATCAGCTGACTAGTGTTGTGTCAACCTGCTCTTGGGGTAATCACGCAGCAATCGGGACTGGCTCAACTTTCAAAATCCACTGGAACGATGAGAACCAGGTAATTTGGACATTTCACCTATCTATGCTATTCACAGAACAAAATCATCTACCATTTCTCATCTATTATGAACTCATTTTGGTCTCTCACAGTCTGCAAGCAACGAAATACTCAGAGAGTACAATTTATATGACTTCCTCGAAGCCGTTGGAACAATAGGAGCTACTGAACAGAAGACAGATGCTCCTCACAGTTTATGCTTGTATGACGTTGACCAGCTTCCAGAGGACGAAGTTCAAGAGGATGAGGTGGTATGTTTTGGTGGAACCAGTCCAATATCATGGACAGACAAGCCAAAAGGTGATTCCCTGCTGCATGATTCTATGGGTAGGGCTGGAATGTGCAGCACTGTACAGGAACAGCAGGAAATGCAAAATAAGATAAAATGGAACTCAGTTGCAAACTGGAGAAATGATAAGCCAATGGGTCCTCCCCGTACAGCTTTTGAAGAATCAACTAGCACCAGAGGACAGAACAAGAGACAGTTTACCGGCCAAGTATATGCGCGAAAGCAACCAAAGCATAGCTGGAGCCAAGCTGCGACACACCAAAATAACAAGCTAAGTTGGTGTAGAGAAAATGTTGCAGGCGCACAGGACTTTGCCAATGCAGAATCATCTAGCTCAGGTGGATGGAATACGAAGAATAGTGGTTTTGGTCGAGGTGGTCGTAGAGGTGGCGGTAGAGGCATGGACTTTGCCAATGCAGAATCATCTAGCTCAGGTGGATGGAACAGGAAGAATAGTGGTTTTAGTCGAGGTGGTTGTAGAGGTGGCGGTAGAGGCATGTGGAAATCAGAGGGATCACATCATGGAGGCAGTAACAGCACGAACTGGAGAGCCCAGAATAACAACAGTGCTAGACAAGGTGGGATCAGTTATAGTTTCACACCAGTGGAACAGCAGATATACACACATGTCGAACCAATCATTAAGAATGTAAAGAGGATCATCCGTGAATCAAGGTACATTTCCTGGCCTAATGCAGCTTGAACAAACAAACCTGCTTGATAAGTAAATAGGATAATTAAAGCAGTAAGCTGAAAGATAGGATTACCATGATAGATTTAGCTCGAGCTTCACAAAATCCAATTAACTGCAACAGTAAACGATAGTACCTATTTTTTGTTGTTGCCTTGAGACACCAGGTGCTCCTTCTGTGTCCGAATCCGTTATTCACAGTCTGCCTCGATTTATAATTTGCAGAGATGGCATGAAGCTTTCTCAGGATGATGAGATGTTCATCGTGAACAAGATTCTGATGTACCACCCAGAGAAGGAGAAGAAGATGGCCGGTCAGGGCAACTACATTATGGTAAGCACTAAGCAGCTCATCTTTGCATGGGAATGAAATCATAGGGAAATGCTCTTCTGGTTAACTGTTTTCCTGCTTGCAGGTCGATAAGCATCAAACTTTCCCTAGCAGCAGGTGCTTGTACGTTGCATCCTCAGATGGATCGAGTTCAGATTTCTCTTACAAGAAGTGCCTAGAGAATTTCATCAGGATTCACTACCCACATGCTGCGGATTCGTTCTGCAGAAAGTACTTCAAATGATGAGCCATAGCATGCTAATTTGCCCCAGAGGTGCTTGCATGCAGTGGTGCCACATTCTAAGTCCTTGGAGTGATCTGGATTGTATCCAATTTCGGCTACAATGTTGCCTTTGATGTCCACTAACTTTGAAGTTTATTTTGGTTGAAACTTCTGTAACTGTGATGCTATTTCTGAACAGTAGTAAACCGAAACACCCAGACTTTTAAAAGTTTACAGTTGTCTGACAACTGAATGACTGATGATGATGGTAAGGACTAAATTAAAAGAGACTTGCTCATGTAAACCATGAATTATCCCATTGTGCCCACATCCATAGAGGAACATAGTTCATGCACCTGAACCATCATACTCAAAATCATATAGCACAATCATAGTAGATTTCATTCTTATGTCCAATGCATTATTATTTTAAACATCTATTTGGTAAAATCATCTAGGAGCGTTAATATAGCCACTGCATGAACATAATCTATATTCCATCAGCTGTGAAGTAAAACACGTGTAGGAGTGATAGAGTAACCAAACGATAGATTTCATTCTTATTGCCTGCTATCATTCAACTCTACAATGAACATTTGATGGTGCTAAAGCCGAGAGATTTAACAGGTACATCAGCTGGAAGGTAGCATACACCTAGATTTGTTAACTGAAACAAAACTTGACACTCCCAACACTAGCAGACTACAGTACGAAGCAGCAACAGTTACCTTCCCTCGCTCGGGGAAAAGCCGCAAAAGGAAAGACTCAAGTAGCAGCAGCAGCAACTCCAGGCTCCATCTCAGGCTGTGCTGCGGCCTTGGCCTTGATTTGGCAGCGTTCAAGGTAGCACTGCAGGATGGCAAGCCTCGCGGTCTCGAAGGCACAGTAGCCGAGCGCGGCAAAGCACGCGTTGTGCAGCACCCTTGGCCCGATGCCACGGGACAGGCCGACGAGCCCCTCCTCCGCGACGACCTCCCTCATGGTGCCGAGCACGGTGCGGCTGCCCTCGGCGCCGACCCTGGTCATGAGGCGCGTCTTGACGACGTCGAGCGGGGTGGTGAGCGCAGCGGAGATGGCTCCCGCGAGGGCGCCGCAGAGGACGCTCTCCCCGGGCGTGAGGCTATCCCCGGCGCGCCGCTTGAGCGTGAACGCCTTGAGGTACTCGAAGGAGGAGTAGCTGAGTACCCCGGCGGGGAGGTTGCGGAGCAGGGTGGCGGCGTAGCCAGCATAGAGGCCGAGGAAGCCGTCGGCGCGGAGGATGCCGAGGAGCACCTGCCAGGAGCGGCCCGTGGCGGCGCCCGACTGGAGGCGCTGCGTGATGAGTTCCTTGGGCACCATGATGGCGGAGGAGGAGACGTTGCCGCTGGCCCCCGCGAGCGGCGGCACGAGGAAGGGCGGGAGGTGCGGGTGGAGCAGCGACTTGGCGAGCTCGCAGGTGCCGAAGTAGACGGCGGAGGAGGAGGCGGAGCCGAGGATGACGGCGGAGAGGCCGCGGTAGAGGCCGAGCGGACCGTCGGTGCGGAGGATGTCGAGGAAGACCTGCCAGGAGGTGGCGGAGGGGGCGGCGGCCGCCTGCACCTGGAGCCGCGTCTTGACGGCGTCGATCGGGAGCAGCGCCGCGTAGGTGAAGGCCCCCGCCGCCGCGCCCGCGCAGGCCCCGATGACCGCGCGCACCAGCGGGGTCGGGGTCGCGGTTGCTGATGTGGGACTGGGGTTCGGCTTGGGCTTGGGAGTCGGGGTGGGGATGGAGAGGGAGGAGGAGGAGAAGACGGGGCCGGAGGAGGAGGCGGCGCCGGCGGGGGAGTGGAGGAGTAGGGAGGTGAGGTCGGAGATGAGGGACGGAAAGTCGAGGTCCGCCTGGGACTGGGTCTGGGATCGGGATCGGGCCATGGTGGGAAGCGCGAGGCGGGGAGCGGAGTTGGGCTGCGGCGGCGGCATGCCGTCGGCTGGGCTCCTGGCGGCGCGGCGAGGATTTGATGCAGTGTTTTGGTGGGTGGATGGTGGGGGAAGGGTGGACGTGGGAGTGGGGACTGCCGGACTGGCTGGCCAGATTGCACGGCAGGTGGAGGTGGCACGTGACGATCAGGACTCCGCGGAGACGACGATGCGGCGTGGGCGCGTGGCTGGAATGGATGGCGTGCAGAGCAGCCAGCAGCACAGCTGAGCTGGATCGGATTCAGTTCAGCTTGGACTTATGGAGGCTGGACTGCAGGAGCATGCTCTGCTGCTCCCCGGCCACTTCCTCGGTGTCCTGCTCTCACTGCTCACAACATGCTCGCAAAATTTCAATCACCAAATCGTCATACACGACCTGATCCTCGACGTGCATGATAATCAGTAAACACAAGTTTTTTCTTTCTTCATTCTTTTTTAAGGAATGGGCAGGGCAAGAGCTGCATCATTCAACTAAGAGAGAAGAGCAAAAATGTGTTAAACTACTTCAGCAGTACTTTTCAGCGAACGAACGATGTTTTCTCTCACAAAACATCAGCATAAGTCAAATTTCAGCGAAGCGAACAGGTCCAAAGTATCGAAGCCTCGGTTTGGTTAACGATGGTTGATGCAATCGCTTGGGTGTTTACATTCTTTTACAAAAGAGATTCAACCTATAAGAAACTAGGCGTTTTTTCTTTAAGGCCTCGTTTAGATGCTGAAAAAATTTCAACCCGATGAATAGTACCACTTTCGTCTTATTTGATAAATATTGTCTAATCGTGGACCAACTAGGCTCAAAAGATTCATCTCGTGATTTCCAACTAAACTGTGTAATTAGTTATTTTTTTTACCTACATTTAATACTCCATGTAAGCGGCTAAAAATTGATGTGACGGAGAGAGAGTGAAAAAACTTGGAATTTTGGTAACATCTAAACAAGGCCTAAGAAGGAAATATGCGTCCAAATTCAATTCGAGAGATGGCTTAAACCATTCTGAAAGGTTGGATTGGATGTATGACTACTCACTACTGCAGTACTGCGAGGCTAACATTTGTGGGTGTTTACACCCTGTCCCTTGTCTTCTGATGCCTGCACAAGCCATGTAGTGTCGTGAACCAATATCAGGTCTTGTTTAGATGCCATCCAAATTCTAAGTTTTTTCTCTCTCTCCATCACATCATTTTTTAGCCGCTTGCATGGAGTATTAAATGTAGGTAAAAAAATAACTAATTACACAGTTTAGTTGGAAGTCACGAGACGAATCTTTTGAGCCTAGTTGGTCCACGATTGGACAATATTTATCAAATAAGACGAAAGTGATACTATTCATCGGGTTTAAAAAATTTGCAAAGTGAACAAGGCCTCAGAAGGCCATGTTCAGCAGGGCTCTCTCTGGCTTCGGCTCAGTGCAAAACATGGCTTTCATCCTCCTAGTTTATTTCGTGAGGAGAGAAAACATCTTCTGTGAATATTGTTGTTATAATTGCTTTTGCAGGAGGAGTCTGAACCACAAAAAGCTGTGCCAAAAAATAGACCTGAGTAGTGACACAGCTCACCGTCTTTTTGAGAAAAGAAAGGGAGAAAAAAAGGCTTATACCTAAGGACAAAGCAAAGTTTTGTCTTTTCAATATACTCCCTCTGTCTTTGGATAAATAGATTTCTAGAGTTGTTTTAAGTCAAGCTTTTTTAAACTTTGACTAAATTTATAGAACAAACTGTCAAAATCTATGACAACAAATTAGTATAATTAGATATACCATAGAATATATTTTCATAATGTACTCATTTTATATCATAGATGTTGTTACTCTTTCCTATAAAATTAGTCAAACTTAAGACAGTTTGATTTGCACGGAAGGAATTGATTTATTCAGGACAGAGGGAGTATATCCATAGACTCCTTGTTCAAGCAAACAACATGCAATCGTTCAAAAAAGTGGACAACCTGCATAGCCACAAATGAAATCCCCCATGCAAAATATTTCAAGTATATCCAATTGCAACTCTGGTGCAGTTCATACTTCAAGTGTCATACGCTCGCATCCACCATTTGATTTTAAGCTAACTGGGACATGTATAACACAATAACACATAGTGATCGGCTTCCATCATATACAACAAGTGACAGGGTATTCTAAAAACAAAATGGCAGTATTTCTAGTACGGTCAAGGGCTTTTAAACAATTTCATTGGTTTGTATATTCGTTTGCTGCTTTTAGTTTTGGCAATATACTGTGCAACCACAGATGACAAACACTGCCTACTTTAGGCCATGTGCAATGCAAGGCAAAATTGGCAGTGTTGTTGAAGCTGGAATCATATTTGAATATGCACCTGTCTGCCCAAAAGCTTGCCAAAATACAAATTTGATGCACTTGATGATACATTCTTGCAAAATTCTTTGTGCCAGTAATATATAACATATAGAAATATGCTACAATCAATTATTGACGGCAGACTTAGGGCCTCTTTGACACGGCTTATGCCGGCTTCGGCTTCATCTATTTTGCGCAAATCGAGGCACTGTAGCGTGAAGCCATTTTGTAAGCCGGGGTTAAAATGAACTAGAAGCCGAGAAAAGCCAGTTTTTCTGGCTTCACCGGCTTTGACTTCACCGGTGGAGCCGTTTTGGATGAGCCGTGCCAAATGGGGCTTTAATTTGTCGTCAAAACTTAAACGATTTCTGCATCAAAATCCAAGGCCAAGGTTTTCTAGTTAATTGATGATGAATGAAGTTCTCCAAGGATATGCTGAATGATGATTGCCACAAAATCAATGGAGTTCGTTTCCATTTCTCTGGGAGTGGGGAGTACATGCATGCTATTATTATGGATGGAGTAAGAAGTATTCACACAAACGGAAAGCAGAAAGGGCAGCGTCATTGCAGGAAGTAGCCGGAGATGAAGACGAGGAAGCCGACGAGGAGGCTGCCGTAGATGAGCAGGCCCTTCTGGCCAGAGGTGAGGGAGTTGCCGCCCAGCCCGAACTGCTGGTTCTGCGCGAACCCGGCGATCTCCACGCTCTTGCTCTCGAAGAAGGATTGCGCGGCGCCGCAGGTCGGGCACCGCCAGTCGTCCGGCAGCTGCGCGAAGGGGAGGCCCGGCGGCACCGGGTACGACGGGTCCCCCGCCGCCTGGTCGTAGCGGTACCCGCAGGAGCGGCACTCGTGGATCCCCGTGTTGAGCACCGCGAACTTCTCCTCGAACCGCCGAGGGTCCAGCTTTGGTCCGCCGTCGTCGTCCTCGGCCTCCTCCTGTAAAGTGGCGGCGGGCTGAGGGCTCTCTGTCTCTGTGGTCGTCGCCGTCGGCGTCTCAAGCGGCTTGTCGTCCTTGGACACGTCGACGGAGTGGCGCGCGAAGTGGCTGCTGGCGACGGGCCTATGGTGGAGGATGTGGAGGTGTAGGCAGCAGGACGGCGGCGGCGGTGTTCTTGGGTGCTTGGACACCATGCCATTTGCCCATGCAGGGGCGGTGGACGAGCCTGGCTGCTGTACAGGCTAACGCCATCGTCAACCTCTCTCTCTCGACTCCTCCTGGAAGAGGATGACAATGCTAATGCCTGTGTGCGTTTCTTTCAGGATCTATCTAGGGAAGAAAGGAAGGAGCTGCTGGCCTAGGGAAGGAGAGGGAAGCAGGAATCCATGGAGGGGATATGCGCGCCGCTCTCTGATGCTGCCGCGGAGTGCAGAGACAGATAGAGATAGATGGAGAGCGCCAGGCCACGGGCGGATAAGGTATGTGTGCACCAGACGCGCACCCGTCAGCAAAACTGGACCTCTGCAGAAGCTTTGACAAGAGTTTGAAGGGTTACACGTGTATACATGCAGATTAATTAAAGTAGACATGCAGACCAATCTGCATTAATAAAGAAATATAGGAGTAAGCAGCTACTAGTAAAAGTAGACATGAAGCCCAATATTTAAAAATCAAGTTTTTTTTAGACAACTCTTAAATTTTAAGAGTCAGACTTTTTAGAGAAATTTTAAATTTTGTAACATCAAGTTGAGCATATCGCTGTTGTGTCGCCTTTTCTTTTCCTACAAACTCTCTATATGCACCCATGAGATAAGAGACACCCGGCATCTCAAAAGCCCTCCTTGCCAACGATAGGCCATCAGAACTGCAGTCTGCAGCTATTGACAGCAACCAAAATCCTAAGTTTAACAAACATTGGCATGTACACATGTAATGGGCGGCCATAATGTGGCACGTGACATTTTTGGAGAAGAAAAAAAAATTGCCACTTCTTTACAGCTACATTGGCTACAACAGCCAAGGCTTTCAAAGGGTAGAAAAGGGCTGGGCTGGCCCCTCAACAGTCAACACACTACTGTCCCACCCCCTGCCAGCCCACCCCCTACTCCATGTTTCGGTGTTCCACAACTCTATGTACATTACATCGGAACAGGGCAGCCTAACGAGCCCTTGGATGGAAGACTGACTCAATTTCACAACAACAGTAACAAGAATTATCGACATTACATGGGCAAAAAGAATTCCTCAGCGCCTTGCCACGCTGACTTTGGCTTCAGCGCTACCACTTCAAGTTTTCTGATGACCACTGCCAGGCAATGAGTAGGAAGGAGGGGTTAATCGAGCTGACCGGATCGATGATGCCGACGATACTCGCTCCGAGCTCCTCACATTGTACTTCTCGTAGACCTTGTCACGGTTCTCGTTCCACCAGCTCTCCGCCTGATGCTCCCCAAAACGCCTTCGACTGAGCAGAAAATTTTGAGACAAGAGACAGAGACACTGGTAAGTGACACTGGTAAAATTGATGCTTCTGAGTGTTAACAGATGAACACAGAAGCAAACAACCGTTTCTTGGTTCATGGAAATCTGTACAGCTGGGTCAATTGATTATTTAAAATTTATTGCACAAAGCATTGAGCACGAATGATGATAGAATGTTACTCTTGTAGAAAAATACAGATTTCTATGTTGTGTTCTACAATATGCTGATATGGCTGTACCAAAGGTGACCTGCAGCTCTACGTTCCAGCTGTTATGGAATGTCAGGATCAGCAAAGTGATTTGCAAAATCCTATTTTTACTATTTTAGTCGCTATTAATGTTTTTAACTATAAATGAAACACAAACAGGGGAGAGGAGAAACCCCATGGCAATTGACAGCACCTAATGAAGGCGACAGAAGAAACCTTACCTGAAGCGTACGCGCTTTAGATCTCGGGTCCCATCACGAAGAGTTGTCAGTGTTATGTATACACCTGGTTCATACTGCTCAATCCACTCAGCCTGAACTTGGTTGCTGGGCAAAGATACTGCACTCCGAGATTTGTAACCATCCTCGCCATTGAAAAGTGACCTAGCATCCTTGTTGCTACTATCATCTGCTCTACTGCTTGCACTGAGCATCTCATCACTACTGCTATGTCCCCTTCGATTCGGATTTTCAGCTTCAGGAGGACCTGAAACCCTATGGGTGTGAGCACTCACTTCGCTGTTTTCACTAATACCTCCTGGTGATTTATGCTGATTTGATATTCCATTTGGGTGCAATGATCGTCCGATGTTCAGGCTAGGCGTGCTTACAGCACTGATAGACTCGTTTCGTGGCAGATGAATACCATTCATGCCAGTGTAAATAGAAGCATACATCTCAATGCCATTTGGAACGTGCGCTTGTTTTGCTTCACTGCCATCATAGGCTCCCAGATCTGGAGGTAGTCTTTCAGCCATATCCTTGAGCTAAACAAGCAACAGCAAAAGATGCATGCAACAATCATCAGAGAAAGCAATCTCAGTCTAACAAGCAAAGAAAGGTGGCACTTTGCCAAGATAAAGTAAGCTGAAATCAATAATTTAATATTTTGACAGGCTAGGTAACAAATATGTAAGTTTTTTTTTTGAAAGAAGTCAGCAATTTTTAAAATCTTATAATATTTGTACCACATATTTGGTACTACATTATTTGGGTATTACTAGAGTATATAAACTAGATAGTTATACCAAAAAGGTGATTATATATGTACTACATTATTTTGAATTTGTATAATTTGATGACACAAAGCCATTGCTGTTCTTGAACATATGCCTTCAGTACAACAAACCATCACCATGAGACCAAAAGCATGAAGAAAATGTCTTGGCAATCTTAATAGCCAATTATTTTAAATAATTGGCTATTTGCAATGAATACCACAGGAACACAACAGTATAGATTTGTGGGTAACTAGAAAGGCATGAAAACTCTTAGCCAATCAATATTACCTGTGCTGTTAGGGACTTTATGACTTCCTTAGCAGCTTTAGACTTTGCAGATTCCTCTGAAACCATTGTCATGACTTCTTGTACTTTCTTTGCTGATTTCTGCAACTCAAGTTCTTGAAGCTCACAGCGGTGCCTCAGATTATCAACCTAAAGAGGTCCACAGATTTCATTGTTTGTCCACGTAATAACACAAAGCTGCAAGCTTGTATATAAATCAAAGTCAATACCTGTGCACGGAGTCTTTCAACCTCTTGACTTAACATCTCGTTAGTTTTTGCAAGACTATCAGCAGCAGTTTTAGCAACTGAAAGACCATGAGTTGTTGGAACTGGTGTGGTTGAGCGTGGTGGACTTGGCTTGCGAGAGAAAGGGGAAACAGCCCTAGATGAGTTCAATGATCGAACTGAAGTGCGAACTGCTCTTGGAACTGACTTGTTCATATCAATTCCGCCAGATAAAGCGATATCTCTCAGCTGAAGAAGTGAACTCATTTGGGGAGTCCGAAGGAATGACAGTGCATCAGTTTTCCTCCCTTGTTTTGCTGCTTTGCTGTCCAAACTTCTAATCATATCCAAATTGCTGGACACAATTGCTCTAGCTAATTTAGCATCATTGTTGCTTTCACCAGAGTGGCGAGGCACAGCCTCTTTCTTCTTATTAACTGCACTTGAGTATGCTGCACTGTTCAATTTCATAAAACATGAATCGCAAACACGGTATGGTTTTGCAGGATTAGGAGCCAATGCTGCTCTCAGGACCTTATGTGAGGTGCAAGCATTACAATGGACAAGACCACAATTATAGCAATTATGCCTCTTCCTGGTGAACCCAAATGGTTGCCGACATGAGGCACATTGCGACTGCTCAGCTCCAGAAACCCATTTATGTTGGCATATAGCTGAAGTGAAGTTTGAACCACAAGCTATGTGCCTAACAGCCCTGTCTCTCAATGCTTCAACCAGTGTAGGTATTTTCCTATCCTCTATGTCTCCATGACCCAGTCTTCCATTGGCCCCCTTCCCCATGTAAAAACCTCACTCTTATTTGTTAAGACTGCAACATGGTAGGAACCACATGCAACTTGGACGACATGTTCACCCATGATATCTTCAACTAAGCATGGAAGTTTACCATCTGAACGAAGATTCCCAAGCTGGCCGTAGACAGTATTACCCATGCTCAGAACCTGTCCAGATGTTGTCAGTCCGACAGTAAGACTATGACCACATGCTATCCTGCAGAAATCATAATCAATAAGTGAAGCCACACACGTAGGCTTAAGTCTTGGTTCCTTGTCACCATGACCAAGCCGATGTTTGTCTCCATCTCCCCATGTGAAGAGCTTACCAGAAGACATACTTGAACTGGATTGGGTGACTATAACTTCTACAACAGCTGCAGTGTGCCATACACCACAAGCCACAGCGATTGTTTTCAGCCCCGATAAAGACTCTACCTCTCTTGGACATGAAAAACTTTCGTGGTTTCCATGTCCTAAAACTCCGAATGTACCATCGCCAAACGTAAATAGCTGCCCTCTCGACGTAACCAAGGCTGTATGCCAGGTCCCACAAGAGACATAAGCAACTTGATGACCCTCCAGTGCTCCTGAAATTCTTTTAGGAATCCAGTGGCTTACATCGGTACCATTGCCTAGAAGTCCAATATTATGTGTTCCATCACCCCAGGTGTAAAGTTCGCCAGCTGTTGTCACAGCACAGGTGTGAAACTCCCCACAAGCAACAATGTCCACATTACAAATAGCTAACGACTCAACTAGACGAGGGTGAACAGAGTCCTCCCTTGATCCATGGCCAAGACGTCCTCCAGATTCCTCACCCCACGTAAACACTTCCCCATTCTTTGTGACCAAAGCAGCGTGCTTGACCCCACAATCCACATGGTACACATCAAGAACTAGCTTGGACTCCAGGGGCTTAGGCAATAGAAAATCAGCCTTCCCGGTTGACCTGATTACTGTATCGGGACCAACTCTTACAGTGTTGTCACAAATAACTTCACCCCACACGTACACGTCGCCAGAAGAATCATAGTCATCTTGCGCAGAACCATGGCTTGATGTGCTAGGGGCACTAGAAGTGCTAACTCTGATGGCATCTGAAGAAGCCCCTTTAGTGTGCATATTTGTCGCATCTGATCTCCAAGTAACTATTGGGTTTTAAGACCAGTAGCGATACATAGCAATAAGGGTTGATCAGATAGTTCACAACCTGCAAGTATTTAACAATAATGAAGTAAAATCCACTATACACCACTAATTGATAAATAAGTAAGGAAAATTCAAGCTAAATAAATAAATTACAGGAAACAAAGGGCATTGAGAAATTTCGGTTTTAGGTACTGCGACTGTGAAAACGGTTATAGGAACAAAATACGAGCACTCTACCTATGATGAAGCTAAGGCAACAACAAAGGAGGTCGCTTGATGGTAAAAGAGGGACTTTTTATTCGCATTAAGAAGCAAACACACTCGGCATTATGGGTTGGTAGCACCAGAAGTAGCTAGAATTACACACTACAGGTGTTGCACTAAAATAAATCCTCACACGTAGAGCGTTGTGGTGTGGAGCAACTAAATAAGCACTGAGCATCTTAGTAGTAGTTACTATAATGAACGACCTTGCTGCTACTTACTACTGGTTCAAACAAGCAGGGCATGGCAAGGCGATTGGGTTCGTTTCCGCCGAGCCCCCAAATTGCTGGGACAGCAAGCTGCCCACCTCTTCGCATGCACAGCAAGCGAACCGGTCGATCCCAAGAAGAAAGATTCGGGCTTGATTTGCCTCTGAGCAAAGGGGAGAGGGAAGATCCCGCGGGGCAGGACCCGGTCCTAGAACAACAACCCACTCCACACGCAAAGGCTAGGGCTTGCATCCTGACCAGGAACCGACGGAGGCGGCGAGAAGTCCGGTGCGGATCTCCGCCTCGCGGTGGCCCAGGAGAGCACCGGGGCGGGCGGGCGGACGAGGCGGCGCGCTTCGCCTCGGCCCGGCGGCTCGTTGGCTCTCGCTCGCTGGCCTGGCGGGCGGGAGAGCGGTGGCGCCTCGATTCGGCTCCTACCTTTTGCCTCTACTCGTCTGTGGAATCTGAAGCGCGGTGGGGAATGGGAGGGGCGCGGAGGCAGGGGCCGGGGAGGGGACGGGGCGGCGGCGACTGGGCGAGGACTCGAGGAACTCGGCTCCTGCGGTGGCTGCGCCTGCGGCCGCTTCTCTCGCGAGTCGCGAGTCGCGAGTCGCGAGTCTTTGCGGCAGCAGCACGAGACGAGGGGCGGCGCTTGGTCTTCTTGGTCCTCGCTCTCAGTCCTCTCCTGTGGCTCTACCCCCGCCCCCCTCTCTCTCTCTCTTCTCTTTGTCTGACAGTGTACAAGCAAAAAAACAGTGTACTGTACTTGTTCGACAGCAAGTACTCCTTTGCTTAAAAAAAAACAGCAAGTACTACTCCTCTCTCTCTCTCTTTTTGACAACACAGCAAGTACTCTTAGGCCTTTTAGTTCAAAAAAAAACTTTCATTTGTATTTGATAATTAGTGCCCAATTACGAACTAACTCGAAACTCTCGTGATTTCTCCCAACTGATTAATTTTTTTTTTATTTCATCTATAGTACTATTGACGCGTCCAAAGATTCGATGTGATGGATAAAAACCAAAAATTTTTGAAACTAAACGTGGCCTTATTGAAGTTGCTTCCCATTTTATCAAGTGGGATTTAATTAAAAATGAAGGTTTTTTTTACCGTGCAAGTCTGACTTGCGATGAGTTACGAAGAATTCGTTTGGTTCCTTGCTAAGAGGTGTGACGAGCTCACGAACTTATGACATTTTCTTTTCTCTTTTTCCCGAACGAAACACACCACACGCACGGTTGCATCGATTTGACTGAATCCTTTCCTTGGGCAGGTCCACGGACAAGACAATGAGAGATCGAGAGGGGAGGGACCCACGAGCTCACTGAGCATTTTGGTCATATTCGCTTGTTTTATAATTCATATTTTTAAAATTATTTTTTTAGTCGAAATAATATTTTTTTTCACATCTAACCAACTGAGACAGTATTTTAGCTTGCAGGACCTTCGTGTCAAAATTAAAGATCGAGTTCATATAGTATGCCATCGATCATTCAATCTTGCTTGGAGCATTCATTTCATACAGTAGGTGCCAGGTACGTACCTGCCTGCCCAAGTAGCAACCTGTGGGGGTATTAACCCCTATACCCTTACGGCTAAGCTTGGGTTGGCCTGGATCGATAGGTTGATCCACACGAAAGATGACGTATATGCCCGATTAACTTTGATCGAGTCCCGCACAAGGAATCAAGACGGATTTGGCGACCAAGCGAGGATCCTCGGTCGATTAGAGTAGGAATCTTATCCGCCACATATGGCAATTGTAACCGACTAGGATTAGTTTCAGATCGTAACCCCGCTTCCCGGACTATATAAGGCGAGGCGGGGACCCCTCTAAAGATCATCTCTCATTGACATACAAACAATACAAATCGAGACGCGGGGCGTAGGTATTACGCCTTCTTGGCGGCCGAACCTAGATAAAACCTCGTGTCTCATCTTTGCGTCACCGTCTTGTTTGGGACTTATGACTTTTTTGTCTGCCGATAATCTACTACCTTGGGCATACCCCTAGGTAGACCGCCGACCATATTTTCGTCGACGGGTGGCGCGCGTAGAGTAGAGTGCGTCTTGCTCTCCAAGCGAACAAGATGGTCATCATCTCGGCTCCATGGCTACGCCCGAGCGGCCTCACGTTCACCATCGGCGAGATCACTTGGACCACCGGCCCGGCGTCTCCATCACCATGACCAAGGCGTGTATTCAAACCGCGGCGGCGACTACTTCACACCGCGATCGGCTACGGTTCCGACCACGGTGAATACGGCCGACCACGGTGAATACGGCTCCGACCACAGTGAACACGGCTCGACCACGGCGAACACGACCTCGACCACGATGGATGCGGCTCCGACCACGGTACATCGGGCTCCGACCACGCCTACGACGTACGCCGACAACCCGTCATCCGCTTCCCGCTACGGAGGAAGCGGATCGACGACACCGACCTGCTTTCGACTCCATCGATCGGGTAACAGACTCCCCACAGCAGATCTATCCGACCGGCTCGGGCGATCGTCCCCGCACGGCTTGGAAGCAGATCTTGTGGTCGTATCTACTCGAGGCGCTCCGCTCGTCGCTTGCCGACCGCGGACGGGCCTCCGACTCTCATGAGTACGAAGTCCCGACGGAGAACCACCGAGTCCACCCTACGGCTGCGGAACGCGCCCGCCTTTTCTGGCGTGCAACCCTCACGACGCCGTTTGGATCTATGTCCACACACACCGATCTCGTCCGAAGCCATGCAACATCATCAACATGGTCCGGATTGAAGATTATCAAGAAGGGTCCATCCACACGGTCCGAGAGGGTGACTCGACTCCTCATCCGCATCGCATCCAACGCATCTGTCCACACCGAAGTTTCGGCGTCCACACGAAGATGAAGGCGTCAAATACGATCCGGATCTACCGGACCACGCCGGGTTTCCCCAATTTCCATCTTTCCCGCCAAGACGAGGATTTGATCCATGTGTCGTCAAGAACGACGAGCCGCCAATTAGCATGGCGGGTTGTAACAAGAACAAGAAAAATCGCGCACGCTGAAGCACGCAACATTGACCGGTTTAATCGCAAGCAAATCGAAGGTGAAGCGGAACCAGAGGCACGGCGCATAAGGATCCAACCGCGACCTCAACAATGCTTTCGACGTGGTGGGGACAAACAAGTCTTCAAGACTCCAAGCGCCAACGTAGCCGTTGCCATGGCGACAATCGTGGTACGCCCAACACTCGAAACCCAAGCGATCCGTGATGAAATACAAGCATATCGGACGGCCGCTATGGCTCGACATCGAGAGATGAATCAAGCCCGGGCCCCATCCGTTTCGGTGGAATCAAGCCACGACCGCCAATACTCAAAGTCGCTCCACGGTACCGCTCAACAAGCGTGGCTCGCGCAACAACGACCCGTCGGACAATCGTCAAGGCGAGCGGTGGTCATGATGGTGGTCGGGACGAAAACCGTCGCCGAGAGGATAACCGTCCACGACGTTCGAGGTGACAACCGCCGGGTAACGCGACAATCGCCGTGATAACCGCGGTCATGAGCTAGTCCAGATGGCAATCGGGATCGCCGCGACGGCAATAACGATCTTTGCCATTACCTCGGCGGACGTGATCTGCGTGCTCGCATCAACCGAGAGCCAACGATCGTGCGCCCCATGAAAGCTATCGCCGTATGGAGTATGACACCGCCCACGGCCCTCCGGGTCTGGGCGATTCACTCCACACCTTCGCCAAGTCATATGGCCCAAGAATTTCAAGCTCGAGAAACTTCAGAAGTTCGACGGCAAGGAAAACCCCGAATTATGGGTCATGCTCTATGAAACCGCGTGCCGATCAGCCATGGTCGACGAAAGCACGTTATGTCTAACTACTTCCCACCACCGTTGGTCGAGGCGGTCACCAATGGCTAGTCGACTTGCGGCAAAAAAGCTGTTTTGACTCTTGGCGGGGAGCTCAAGCGAGGCCTTCATCGACAATTTCATCGCTACTTGTGAACAACCCGGCAACAAGTACGATCGCAATGATCCGAGATCGGAAGAGCGAACCACTGCGCGAATCGTTCGGCGTTTCTCGGAGATGCGCATCAAGGTCCCATCAATCTCCGACAACGAAGCAATCGAGGCTTTTCGTCACGGCCTCCGTTTCCACGACGCCCTAAGAGACAAGCTCCTCCGGAAAAGACACGAGTCGATCCGGCGCTCTTGGCCACCGCTAAGAAATCTGCGGACGACGCGACGCTAAAAAGATAATCGTCGAAGAAGAAGCAAGGATCCCGCTCCGACCACCCTCCACGCCGCGACGATTACCGCGGCAACCGTAGTCGAGCGACAATTTTGACCGCCGCAACCGGTATAGCGACTCCGGCGACCATCGTGATCAACGTAATCGGTGGCGCAACCGCCGTGGCGATTCTGAGAGCAAGCGTGCTTTCGGGAAGACGACGGCGAGGTCAATACGGTGAAAAAGGGGCGGCGGACGTCGTAACTACGAGGACG